TGGAACGCCGGAATTGATGCCAAAGGTATCAGACGATACACCGTCCACCACCACGTGAAGCGATCTGCCTGAAAGAAAACTCGATAAGAGATGGCATAGCTGAGGTGGTAAGCCGTATGCTGGTAGTTTGTGGAGGAGTCCTTCGTGCCAAACACAGTCGAATGCCTTCGATATGTCCAACGCGACAGCTAGAGATTCCCCGTGTTTTTCTATTGAAGATTGCCATAAATGGGTGACGTAGGCAAGTAGATCTCCAGTAGATCTTCGGTGGCGAAAGCCGTATTGTCTATCATTGATGATTCCTGAGCTCTCCAGATATTTTACAAGCTCAATATTGATGGCTTTCTCCATCACTTTGGAGATTACTGATAACAGGGCAATGGGCCTGTAGTTGTTGGGCAGGTTCTTGTTCCCTTTTTTGGGGATTGGTTGGACTCTAGCTGTCTTCCAGCATGATGGAAAAATACCCGACCTGTACGAGATGGTAAACAACTTGCAGAGAATCGGTGTTAATTCTGGTGCACATTTTTTGAGGATAATGGGTGGAATTCCATCAGGACCGTTAGCCTTATTCGTTTTGAGACCAAGCAAAATTCGTCTGATAGTGCGTTGACGGAAGACGATTTCGGGCATTCGACTCTCGACGGGTGGAATGTCTGGCGGCAGTTTTCCTTATCACCTCATTAATTACTCATTTTACTCTTATTTATTTATTATTCTACTATTTCTGAATAATTATATTATTATAATTATTATTATTATCATCAAGCCTTGAGTAAGTTCAACGTATATACTATCGAGTGGCACCAATAAAAAAATATAGGGATCAGAATTAAATTTGAGGTTAGACCTCTTTTTTCACCAAAAGTTCCACACTGTAGCAATTCTGACGTCACCTCTGTTCAAATTTGTATGTGGAAGGCACAATCACGCAGATTTCAATCATTTAAATTATTTTAGAGTGGCATACTTGATTTTTTTTCTCGTTTGTTTTTCAATTAATCTTCGGGATGAAATTTCTTGTTAATTGAAATAGTTACGAAAAATCGGATCATGGGAATATTCGTTAGACTGTATCATATCCATATATGTGCTGATTATATGTACTTATTTCAAAAACACCTTGTATATGGCTAATGGTGGAAAAAAAGTAATATACACCTTGGTAGTAAAGGATATTATTACGAAGAGGGACCTTTATACAGGGCCTACTCTAGGTAAGATAGAGTATAGGCCATGCCTTATACCTCTCGGCTGAAGCCTAGGGATATAATCTTATTGGTTCCTGGATCTCTCTGCTGGATAATATTGATATTCTTTACTACCTTGGCGTATGAATAATTATTTACAGACTCATTACGTCAAGAAGTCGGAACTGTTTTTTCTAATGTCAGTATAGGTACACCTCTAGTGATTCAGCTGGCTTATATCATCAAAATTAACGTCTTCCTGAATATAATCAACATTTGCTTTCACTTCCAAATTGATTTTCTTCAAAAGTGGAGTACCTACTTCATGCACGATACAGCAAGTGAAACAGTTGATGAAACTTGCGGTAATAATAATGTACTCACCTCATAACAATAACAGCAGAAGCATCGTGAAGACATGGATTGGCAATTTTTTTTATAACGCCTAGTGTTCAAGTCTTGAAGGATTCATAGTTGAGCGACGATTATAGTGTTCGTGTAATTCTTTGTGCCTTGTACAAACTAACAGATTTTCAATGAAAAATTCAAGTGAGTTAATTCTTATTGTATAATAATAGTTTTTTAGACAGTTTTCAAGATGAAATTTCGATAAATCAAAATCAAAATCTGAATTTTCTCGAATAGAATTTCTTGTAACCAATACTCGGGAAATAGGTTTGTTCATTATACAGGGTGGAGTTTTCAACTGAATAAATTCAGGGAGAAGGTGGATGATTTTTTTCTAAATATTGCCCTTCAGGGGTATCCTATAGCTTTTGCCCCTCATCGAAAAGCTGGTTGAAGGAAGAATCCAGCGTACTGATGAAATTTTAGTTTGTTTCACGTTTGAGGGTTGCATCAAATCAAAACATAATTTCAAAGTTCAGTAGATATATTTTCAATGTCTTTTCAACAAAATGCGAATTAGTTATAAGGCATTTCGAACTGAGATATCCAATTTTTCCCGCGTGTGACATTAAACACACATGGGACGAAATTTACCTTTGCTCCCAATATACAGTGTGTCCCAGCTAAAACTTGTCTCAATTTGGCGGGGGACACATTTTTCTGCAATCATCATATTTCAAAGTTCAAAGCATCAACTCTCGATTTTCGAATGGAGCACCCTGTATTTCATTGCATTTTCAGATTTTCCCTGCTTTTATCAATGTATCATACTTGGTGTCTAGCGGGAATGATTACAGAGATATAGGGTGTTCGATATCGAGATTTTTAAACTTTAGGATTTTTTTTTTGTGTCGAAACTATTCATTATCGGTCGAAACGGTTTTCATGCCTCTATCTTAACTTTTGATTAACTATATCTACTGATATTTAATTCTGAATATCAACTTTTTTTATATGCAATTTTCGGCATTTTGACTAGGAAATATGATAATATCATCATCCTTACCACCATTTTCGAGATGAATCGATTTTAAATGTCTACTACGTGATAAAAATTGTACTTTTTCTCAATAGGGTTCCTACCATGATAATTTTCAAAATATTATTTTTATGGTTCCTCTCATATTTTGAGTCAAACATCACAGGTGGATGTTGAAAGAAGGGTATCTTCTATCAAAAAATAATTTTTGGGAAAATTTGCTACCCTTTTATCAGAAAAAAACACTATTTTTGTTACGCAGCAGACTCTTAAAATCTCGAAAATGGTGAGTGCAATCTAAACTGAAGAGGTGTATTATTTTTAAGTAAAAATTGAGATATTTTCATATTTCCTGATCAAACAGCCAAAAATTGCTTCGAAAAAAAAGTTGGGGAAAGAAAAGCCCCTAGCCCCGCCTTTTATATATACATTTCTCAACATGTTTTGGTCATTCAAAAACTTTTTCACGAATTTTCTGAATCTGTGCTCACTTTTTCATTATATCCACAAAATACAGGGTGACTGGGAAGCAAAAAAATGTTTTTTTTTCAAATGAAAGGATCTAAATTTTATTCGATAATAATATATGAATGATATATGTTTTTGAATCCACATTGACGGGCTTCATCGAATTATAGAAAAATATATAGATCAGTTATTTCGAAAAAACATTTTTTTTTTGAGCCACCCTGTATTTTGTTGATATAAAGAGAAAGTGAGCACAAATTCAGAAAATGCTCAAAAAATCATTCCAGAAAAGTTTTTGAATGACCGAAATATGCTGAGAATTACGAGGAAGAAGGGGGGTGATACATTTGAGTGGGACACCCTGTACAAAATTTCGTTATCCCAACACGGGTATCGGAACTATTTACATAAATTCATGAACTCGGGCTCCCCTTTAGATAGTTATATAACATCCGAAGGGGCCATTTATGTTCACACAAACTTTTATCACCATTTTTGTTTCTATAGAATCTGTGGTAGAAATCTTTCTATGTGATTTCGAGACACCCTGTATATTTTGATTTGACTTAACAAGCTTTTTATATCGTTATTGGTATAGGCACATTATCTAGCTCATTATTCATCATAAGTTTTTAATTTGTCACATTGATGCGTATATACCTATAGGTGAAGAATATACCAATTTGTATTAATCAGAGATATACCTACAGGGTGCTACCACGTTTTATCAACAACTCTTCACAGGTGATACCTATAGACTTTCTGATTTGATTGCAATAAAGATAGACACATGAGGTACAAACAACTTTAGGTTGATTTGTTGCTTATACCTTTATCTATTACGAGAATGTTACTTTTGACATTTTATTCAAAAACAACTAGGTACCTCCTATCCTGGGTAATATCAAAGAATATTGAATAATATCTGTTATGTATATATCTCATTCTGAGAAAATATATTCTCTATCGAAAACAATTTTTTTTTTAATTTTCTACTACTGAGAAAGATGAAAAATTACTATGCAAACTTCTATTTTGGGTCAAATATCTCGATAACTGTTTATTTCAGCTCATTTGAAGGTGATGCATTTTTTGAACATAATTGAACAATCAATTCGAGAAACTGGAAATATTTGAAATTTCATCAGTGGCGTAGAAAATATGGGCGGAAAAGTTATCACAACCCTCTGCAGCGCACCTCTGGATGGAATTCTCGGAATGTTTTTCTGGTCAAGAAATTAACCATCAAAAGATGAAACCATATACCGAATTTGAATGCATTGTATTAAATATTTCTTGAGATATTGCGAAAAAATTATTTCAATTTCGTAACTTCAACGCCCTGTATCTCGAGAACTGAACACTTGAAGATCGTATGTCCCTATCTCAGAGATTACAAATCACGCCGAGGGCTATCACCTGTCAAGCGTTGTCGGTCGAATTTCGAAACACCCTGTATATATTCAGGAAAAATGTACTCATTTTTTTCCCGAGGGAAAAAGTCATTTATGAAAAGTGACATTTCATAACCTGTCAACAGAGATGAAATGTCAAACTTTTTTCTCGTCACAGCAAAACAATATATCTTTCACCTACACTCAATGTATAACAACCGCATCTGATATATTTGACGCTGAATAAAATTTCTCACAGTAGATTACTGCGGAATGAATATTTTTGAAAAGGCTCTTTTCAATCTTGTGGCTGAACAGCAGAAAAAATTCCATGTAGGGATAGAGACACATATTTTTGTAATTCCCTACTATGGAAACAGATGAAAACTTCCTGTATCTCAAAATTCGTCATCACATCACCTGTGAACCGTTGTCGGTCAAAAATCCATCACCCGGTATAAGTAGTGATGAATATTAGGAAAATTACCATAAATTGCTATCGAGAACTGTCTCGTTGATTGTCGGAAGCAAAAATTGATGCATTTTATAAAAATAATTGATCAAGGTTGGTCAGGTTGAAGTAGAAGCAAATAAACAAGATTTTAATACCAACAGGAAGGATGTTTCCATTTTGAGAACCAGTATGGATTACAAGATGAACCCGAAGAGTAATGGTTCCACGAATTTGTATAGGTTTTTATTCTATGAATTAGCAGGTGAGTAGGTACTCATATTTGGAACTTTCAACTTATTTAACCTAGAAAATAGTAATTAGCTTCCTAATCCTTCATCGACAGGATCACGCAAGTCTTGGAAAGACTATTTCACTCATTACATAAACTGACCAATTACAAGCCAGAGACAATTTGTGTTATCGTGAAAACACTACAGCTGTCTTTCAATTCTGATTGGTTGAACAGCGCTGGTGTTTTCAACGATGTAACCATGGATAGCGAAGCAAAGTCTGTCAGTTAGGCAAGAACTAATCATAGTTGTAGTTGTCAGAATGAATCGTTCAGCATTGAGCATTTATAATAAATGCTTTTGATGCTTCGTGAACGTGAAATAGTCTTGCAAAATACCACTCTGTTCTGAATATCTCCTCATAATTCTGTCTTGCATTGTTGACTCAATTGTGTTGCCGTCCTGACGGACTCGTGGTGTTGCTGGGCAACAGAATTTCGTGAACAATGAAGCGACAAAATTATCTCAAATATACAAAACATCTTGACATTACTATAATATCATAAGTTGTCTCTAGAATCATTCATTACAATTCAAAGAAGTTTCTCCTGTTTCGATTCTAAAATTGCATAGTCATATTGGAGTCATATATTCTAGTTGGTATTCGTTCTATCCAAATTTAACAGTGCCATTACCTTTTCTGTAGTGATCTCATTAATAATAATAATCAGAGAAGTGAAACATGAAATACATATTCATGATTTTTTATTGACTTTGTGAGAAGGACACGTTTGTTTGAACTTTGGTCATATTATATGGGGTGCGTCTCAGAAGAACAGATAATGTGACAACAATGGCTACTTCATTTTGGAATCAAACATATTGTGTCATCACCCTGTTATCCCTTCTTCAATTTGTTGTTACTATTCCACGTATTCTGAACAATTTGAGTTTTTCTTAATATTTTCTAAAATAGCCTGGGAAAATTTTGTTGTTCCATCATCTACTTGTGTACGCTATACGATTTATAATTATTAATCAACTAATGGCATTTTACAGTATTCTCGATGATTTGGAATTACACCCGATGTTTATATCAAGCAAGAGTCAATTAGGTAGCTTCAATTGTTCACATAGGAAATGCCTGAAAAAACTATTATTAATATTTTCAAGAATAAGAGCAGAGTTTATTAGTTCGGCTCGAGATATTTTCTACCGTGAAGGTGTCAATTTTTTATAGAAAGTACAGTTCCAAGTAATTTAGGAAATCTTCTTCAATAAAATCTCACTATTGTTGCCAATAAATTGATGTAATTATCTACATCTACAAGGTGTCCCAGAACAACGTACCATAAATTCTACAGGGTGAACCAGTCACCGAAATAGACTGATTGAAATCAACTTACCTCCATAAGAAAATGCACCGTTGAGTTGTGAGAGGGCGATTAACAAAATTTATTTGCAGATTTTCCTGAATATTTAGAAATCCCTAGAAGGATTTACTGATATAAATGTGCATAAAAATCATGGAATAACATAAATATAAAATAAGTTTGCAGAAGTTACAAACGAAGAACAATTATAGATGTGAAATTCCTTATAATAATACTAGTTTTTGTTTTCAAGAGATAACTTCAGGAAAATTGATGAAAATGTGCAATAAAATAGATGGTGAAGAAAGTTCAGGGCATGAAGATGTGCCTATGTACTTAATGAAAAAAATTTTAGCTCACTTTTGTGAACCGCTTACGCATATCATAAATTTTTCGTTATGTTCAGGGCAATGTCCTATAAATACTAAATTTGCAGTAGTTGAACCTGGCTTTGAATCAGGCGACCCTGAAATGATGAATTATCCATCATTTCAGGGCCAATTAGCCTACTTTGTGATTTTTCAAATTTTTTCGAAATAATTGTTTATGAGCAAAGGTTTGCTTTTTTCTTCTTTAGGGGTAGGAGCACTGAAACTGCCCTTTTTGAGTTGAGAAATGATATCCACAGTGGCCTGGACGCTGGAAAAGTGTCCTTTTTTATGTTCTGGTTCCCACGAAAAGGGATGTCCTGTAATATTCAGACTCAGAGAACATCGTGAGAACCAAGGAAAATAAGGTAGGAATTGGTGTTCTTCTTAAATTTCTGGGGGTTATATGCCTCGGGGAACACGCTCCCTTGGCAATGTGTTCCAGAGCCTCGCTGTTCGTTATATGAACGAGTCTTTGGAAAGAGATGTTCTGCAGGTCTCCAAAGTTACCACGAAGGGGTGCGAAGCCTCAACTCGACGGGTTAATCTCGCTGGGAGGAACAATTGTTGATATCTCAAAAGAGCATCGTCCATGAAAATATCTATAAAATTGAGCCATAGCGCCAACTTTTCTACGGTGTTCCAGTGAAGTGAGTGAGTTTGTGAGCAAGGCATCAACCACGAGACGAATTGCCCTTTTTTGGACAGAACCCAACAGTTTCAGGATATGTTTGGGTGCTGTACTCCAAATATGGGAACAGTATTTCAGGACAGGTCGGATCTGTGCCTTATAGATCATAAGCAGCTGACTGGAAGTGAAATAGCTCCTGGCCCGAAACAGAAAGCCAAGTTTTTGGGATGCATTTTCAGCAATTGTTCTCACGTGATTTTACCAAGAAAGATTATTGCTGATAATACCAAGCATCGAAATGGCGTTCAAAGGTATGGTTACTCCTGACAAGCTTATGTTGGGCACAGTGAGATCGGCTTTTCTAGAGAAAAGGCATGCTTGTGTTATGTTTGCATTGAAATCTACCAAGTTATTGGATCCCCATTCGAGAATTGTTTCCATGTCCATATTCATGTTGTCAACATTTCTCTCTCGTTTGTTTCTGATTTGCCTGGCTGGTATTGATAAATAGATATTTAACATTCTCTTTGATGAAAATGTAATTTTTTTGGAGTACTCCACGGACCATATCTCGATATCTCAATGAAGGACGAAATTAATTATCTAATTGTTTTCCAACTGCAGTTTACTCATCATCCTTCTTATATTTCAAGATATCTAAAAAAATTATTATTTGTGTTACTCCATCCTCGTTCATAATGCCAGGATAACCTATATTATTTTGCAAATTTTCACGTCATTTGTGATCACATATTGACCACAATATCCATGTTCACCATTTCGCAAGTTCATCATCATGTGATCTGGGAGCTGGTCGATTCCAAATTTCATTTTTTTTTTTCGCAAAATAACTTGACCAACAACCTTATTATAAATACGAAATCGCCAATCTGCTCTGAGTGGACTGAAATGTTGAATAATTATCGAAAGCTCAAAGTCATTCCTACAAATGTTCATAAATGAACAAAATTGGTAAATTACGAGAGAAAAAAACTACTTCCCTGGCTATATGCCACGCAGAACATTGAATTTCATCCTTCTGAAATCTATAATTCGTAGAGATAAGTTGCTTCAATCGGATTATTTTTGTCTTTAGTTCCCCCTGTAGAATTTACGGTACGTTGTTGTTGTTGCTGTTAACTGATAAATTTCTCACTAAACCATTTGGAGAGTGTATGACCGAGTGTTTGAAAATAATTATGAAAATCCATCATATTTTCAGATCCAAGAACAAACTCATGGTTTCTCATTAGTGATCCAGGACCTCCATTGGCAATTTTGTCCATGTATTTATATTTCGTTTTGAATTGGGGCCCCCGATTGATGAAAAATAGACAACCATATGAATTGAAGACGGTTCTTGTAGTATACAATTTCCTCCAGGTATTATTAAGCACATGGCTAGTTGTGGAGGTAAGACAATATTCCAAAATGTATACCTGTTGAAAATGATAATATTTTTCGAATTATTTTCCACCATGTCATCCATATTCAATTCAAAACAAGTTTGTGTACATTAATTTCAATAATGAGTAAGTAAATAAGATGGCATTATAAATCAACTTGGATGTGAATGTACACTTTCCTACGTAAAGAAGATATTTTAGCTTGTTAGTCAGTCCCAAGTCCAGATATTGCGAATTGAAAAAAGGCATCTAACTATAGCAAAACACTCAACATTAATTATTATAAATATTAAATACCAGCATAATTTTTGCTCGCAATGTACTAATTCTTCACATTGCTGTTGAAGCAACTTATCATACATACAGATCGAATAATATTTTCTAATGATTGTCATAAAATCCCGAAAAAATCATACATACTGTCATACTAATTCAGACCTATGAAGAAATAATATAGTAGGTATGAGATTTAGTGAACAACTTTTTTTTGGATTTTCGGTTGACGCAATGCATATAGTTGGCTTATACATGTTGAGAAATTTGTTTTTCCTGATTGCCCTGAAAATTACATGGAATTCATAGACACTGATACAGACCCATACAGGAAGAATCTATAGTGTTATATTAAGTAAAAAACTTTTTCTTCCAATTTTCAAAATTAGCGATTCACGTAATGCAGTATGCTCATACAGGTTGAAGAGAAAATGAAAAATGATGGAGTTTCCAATGAAAAAAAAATACACGAAATTGGTTTTATAACATTTGGAAAGAAAATTATATGTCTCACACGACATCAAATGTAGATTGACTGTCTAGTAAAACGCATAAGTATTTCCTCAATGCCCTAAGAATCTCAAAAAATTCATAGACAAAAAGAAAGAATTTGGAATCAGATTTACTAAAAAACTCTTTCTTTAGATTTTTAAAATTTGCGGTTGACGCAATGCCAGAGGATGCTCATACAGGTCGCTGAAATTTTTTTCCTGATTGCCCTAAAAATTATAAAAAAAAACATACACAATAATCTTGACCTATGTGAAAATAATCTAGTATATCGGATTAGGTGAAGAATTTTTCCTTTGGATTTTCAAAGTTAGCTGTTCACGCAATATACAGTATATACTCATACAAGGAGAAAGTTTTTTCCTGGGTGCCCTAAATATTTTCAAAATCAGCGGTTCACTCATTGCAGTAGGCGCATACAGGTCAAAACATACTTGTTTCCTGATTGCTTTGAAAATTACAAAAAAATTACAAACACTATTTTCCATATGATAATAATAACATTCATTGATTCTGAGGAACATATCGGGTGGTCACAAAAAAACGGAAGTTTTCATTTTCCTCGTGGTTTCATCATTTCTCAACCGAATTCGAATTTCTTGGCGTCGTTTCATAGCTATAGTCAGGTCATTTCAAAATTCGTTATGTATTGACTACCACTAGTATAACGTTTTATACATTTTCAGGATTTCACGCAATCTTCATGGACTTGAATCTCGATGTCAATATCAAAATTTTTCTATTCGCTAGCGGTTTTTGTGAATCACGAAAGTTAGGGTCACTCCACCATTTCGTTTTTTTTCAATTATGAAATTTTCAGATGTTCCACTGTGTACTACAGCTATTCAGTTTTGAAATGGCATTAGGAAATCCAAATTCGATTGAATTTTCATGAAGCCTGAAACAAAATAATAATAATCGTTTATACGAGATTAGCACATTCACTCCATAACAAATTGCAAAGAAATGAGTGTATCTACTGGACTCTTCTCTTCACTCTTCAGAAATGAATCGCTTAAGATGACATCGGTACAGGTTGGAAAAAATCTGATTTTCTTTTTCTCCAGCGGTTTTTGTAAATGACAATACTTTGGTAGAATCCGCCATTTTGTTTTTGTTCATTATGAAATTTTCAAATATTCCACTGTATACTATAGCCCTTTAGCTATAAAACGACGCCAAGAAATTCGGATTTGGTTCATATACGTATTAATAATCAATACGGATAATCTCTATCTGTTTCCATAGCGAAACATGAAGCCGATTTTTGAAGACAAATGACTCTCCATAAGGAAAAGTTTTGAAACGATCAGACACATACTGCTTTGATTGAAAGGCTAGTAAACGTCATTGTTCAGCGAAACGCATATCCTTATGGATATTCATTTGTTTCATATTTTTGGCTTCATCCTGGCACCCGTTATGATCCGTATTGTTTATTGATACGTATATGATTTGGTTGAGAAATGATGAAACCACGAGGAAAATAAAAACTTCCGGTTTTTTTGTGACCACCCGATACAATGTCTTTAGAGGGATACAAAAAATAATAATAAATGGATGAAATATATGCAATGAAATGAAACAATTCAATCAGAATTAATTGATGCGAGGAGGAAGTTAAATTAGTTATGTTAGTTAGTTATGTTATATTTTATTCACATCACTGTCATCAATTCATATCTGGAAAGCAAGGGGCTAGAAGTAGAACAAAGTGGATTTTAGGATAATCTATGAAATATACATTCTACATTCCCCAGTCTTGAAGTTTCACATCTGCAACCCTAATTTTTAGTTCATTAGCACTTCCACCAATTTCTTTGGTCAATTTATCCACGTCTTTGATCAAGTCTTTCAAATTCTCATTGGGTAGACTATTATAAATATTTATTCCACAAAAATGTAATGAAATGTTCCAAAATAAATGTTCAATAAATCCAAATATAACTGATTTTTCACCAGAAAAAAATTGTCCGAGACCATCAGGTAGCAAAAAACACCCTATATATGAAGATGCATGTCTTCAATTATGTTAATATCTATTCAATATCTTTTTCAGGGTCTAGATATATTGAACACAATCAAATTCAGCTGGGTATGTCAACCTGTAGATTTTTCCAATTCGCCAATTGCTTTGCGGGTAAAAAAAAATCAAAACCACCCAAACTAAAATACCATACCTATAAACTATCATTCTTTTAGATCATCAGAGGTGTCTACATCTATTTTTTGGCCAAAATGACAGAACTTCTCGACACGGTATTCTTCGTTTTACGCAAAAAAGACAGACAAATAACGTTCCTCCACGTATACCACCACACAGCCATGCCGATGATAAGCTGGGGTGCCACAAAGTACTTCCCAGGGGGCCATGGAGCCATAGTCGGCCTAATCAATTCCTTCGTTCACATCGTCATGTATTCGTATTACATGATGGCTGCTATGGGTCCTCGATACCAAAGGTTCTTGTGGTGGAAAAAATATATTACAACTCTACAAATGGTAAGAAACGAGTATTAGTATGAAAGAAACTCATAATTGCAAGACAAATAGAGGTTGTTAGACTAGACTGTTTCGGCTGGTCGAGCCTCATCAGTTGCACTCGGCCAGCAAATAATCGATTCAGGAAGAGTACTTCGGTACAATATGAATATTGTCGCAACTCGGATGGTTCTAATAGGTTGTATGGCATTATTGAGAACAAACTGCGCCTCCACCACGTGTCGCAACTCAGATGTTGACCCTCCTATTATAGGTCGTAACTTAGCTACTCGCTTGGCTCTTTTGACGAGAGGTTATGATCATTTCACTACCCAACCATATTCATCCCCAGATAAAGAGAATTGTTTTTCCAAAGTACGACAAACAATTTATATTCAATCACGAAAACATAAGAATGTGCCAAAAAGGCGGAACAGCAAAGAACAAATAATATGAAACGAGCTAACAACAAAAACAAGATGATGCTTCTTGGTACTTACATTATGTTATGGCAGCAGCACCAAAGTCGAGGAGATGTCACACCCCAAAAGTGGCATAGTGATGAATAAGTGTTATGTACTTAGTGATGAATCGAATAACGATTGAACTGATAATGACTATGCCTTATCGATTCGGGTTCTATTTATATCTGAAATCGATGCTAGATTCGCAATTTTCCGCAATGGGAATGGCCGTCACCTTTCGATATTGCTTACATAGGTATTATCGCACGGTGAGCGGTTTTTGCAGGAACTGACGTCTATGAACTCCGCTGATCTGATAGAAACTATACTGTACTGGATGTTTTAATTGGGAAAAGTTAATTCATGATGAAAGGTCTTGAAATGAACAAGTTTGAGTGATGCTGATTCATAGGCATTTGTACTTCTTGACGATATACAAATGGAACACATTGTATATTTTTACATATTCAAGTTCAAAAGCTCAATACAAGTGCCACCATATTATCTCAAATGTCATTTTCGCTAAAATTTTGAAATTGAAATTGTTATTTTATTTCACCTCGTGGGTAAATAAGATATGGTCAAAGCTTTTCACAATGAGTCCCAGATACTAGAGAAAAATATGTATGTTTTTCTCCAAGCGGCAGGAAAAGTGGCTTTTTTCTTCCGCATAACAGGCAGAAAAGGTGTACTTTTACTGGCTAGGCAGAAAAAAATTATTGCTATGCAACGTTCCAAGAAATTAGTAATCAAAATTGACACTGACAATGGGTGAGCACAAAATGATGGAGTTTTAAATGAAAAAATTACACAAAATTGGTTTCATGTCATTTGGAGAAAAAATTCTACTGCCACGGCAGTCAATCTACTACTTTTCTGCCTAGTAAAACAAAACAATTATTTTCAAACAAAACATGAGTACTATTCAGTCAATCAAGTCATGTATTCTAGATCGTGGTATTCTCAAAAGCCATAATTTCAATTGTGTTTTGAAAATATGAAATTAATGAATTATTTTAATGTCATGTGGAAATATATCGAATAATTTTGGGGCAATATAAGTAAAGTTCCTTTCTCCAATCGCCTTTTTTGCAATAGGTTTTTCTGATACTTCATTTTTAGTTCTAGTGTTATATTTATGACTCCTATACGTTATCGTGTATTTGTTTTTCTTTATATTAATTAATATAGTTTGTGCATATAATTTGTCTTATGTCGAATTTTTGTGATATTTCATATAATTATTGATAGCTTGGGTAAGTAAAATTTTTGTTGTGAAAAATTTTTTGAAATCCATTTTTGAATCGTTTCTAAATGTATGAGAGTTGAGACTGAATGAACATCATATAAATCTGAAAGATAACGTGTTCCAACAAACTGTCTGAGGTATTTAAATTTTGGTAGAAGCATTCGAATTTGTTTAATTATATGACTTATTTGAATATCCCATTTGAGGTGTATGTCAATAACGATTCCCAAGTATTTAATATGGTCTGCTTCCTGAATTTCGTGTGTTTCGTCATTTTTCAGCTTTATCTGTAGAGATCCTAAATCAGGTAGATTAGTCTGATACGAGGTGAACAGTAAATAATTATGGCATCATGATTTTTGTTGTATTTTCCGTTTTTTTGGGGTTTTTGGTAGGCGGAGGACAGTTCTACCCTTTTGACACATTATACTATTTAGGCATACTGTCTAGATCGATTTTTGTTTTTCAGGCTCAATTCGGTTTAGCCTTTCTTCACAACAGCCAACTACTTTTCGTGGATTGTGGATATCCTAGATGGTCTGTGGTATTCACTTTACCAAATGCAATCTTCTTCTATGTCCTCTTCTCGGATTTTTACCAGAAAAACTACAGTGGTGAGAAGAAAATTCGTTATGGTGAAAAAATGGAGCATGCTTCGGCTGAGAAATGCTCATATTCAGAAGTGAAAGAAGCCACTAGTGGATATTCTACAGGTGGACTTGGAATATCTGATAAAAAGATGTTATGAAATATTACTAGCTGGTTCTACAATTATTTAATCGTGTATTGAATAGGTAGGATCGAGAGAGAACATTTGATTCATTGATTTCCAGTTTCACAATAGAAAATAGCTTTATACAAGATGATTCAATTTGTTTCCGAAAAATGATATGAATGATATCCTAGTAGTAGGGAGACAAATGACGAGTACATAGTTTATGTTTGATCGTTTACATCATACAGTATGCTGAGGGACTGTATGAATCTACAGGGAGATTTTTTTCATAAAATCTGTTGGTACACCAGTGGTACATTCTGGAATATGTAATATAATTTTTTCTATCTGTTTGTGATTTTTTTCTTATATAATTTGAAATTTTTACAAAAGGGAGGAACTCACCGGCAAAATAAACCGCGGCCACCAAAACATCTTCCAAAATTGTTCAGCCTGTAACTTTTTTAATCCTTGTCCGATTTTTGTGAAATTTCGATCAAATCGTTGATTCATGTCCCGGAATGTTAGCCTAGATATTAGTTTTCCTGAAGAGCTGATGACTTGGTCATTATACAGGGAAAAACCAAAGTTACTCTCTCACCCTATACTTCACGTCAATATCTTATTTTTACGAGTAGATACGAGTGTTTCAAGGAGGTATGGCGTTTTTCAACTTTTTTTACCAATAATCAGAACTTACATGAACTTATTGAATAACAACTTCAAGTATTAATATCACATATTTCCACCTCACTTTCTTAGCACTTACCGGAAAATTAATTACGAAAAACAAATAAGAAGCAGACAATTCAACCGCCGTGTCATCGAATTGATCAAATTTCTCAAGTAGTCTTGAAGAATTGCCTAAAATTCTCCTTGATGGGCGAATCGTATCTCTTGAAGAATCTCTGACAAGGCTGAGCGAAGGCGAATGAGCCTCTAGAGGTCACACCTGAGATGCTCTATGGGTTCTGAATTATTATTGGAAATTAAAAAATTCTATACTTTCTTGAAACACTTGTATCTTCTCTCAAAAAGAAGATATTGACGTTATTCAAGAACCGTTGTATGAAGAAGGAACAACAGAGGATCACACTTCAATTTAAAACATGATGAAACAGAAGGTTGGAGAAAGGTTCTGAATTATTGTTGAATTTTGAAATTTTGAAAATCCATACTCTCTTGAAATACTCGCATATTCCCTTAAAAAGTAGTAATCGACGTGAATAAAAAACCATCATGTAGAGTTAAGATTACTCTTCAATCTCAAACATAATGAAGCTGAGTTAAACCACTCACTTTTTCCACAGGGCGTTAAGAAGTTAGGGGTGATAACGTAACTTTCGTTATTCCCTGTATAATGATCGACTCATCAGATTTTCATAGGAACTAATATTCAGGCTACCATATGGAAAAATGAAGCTACAATTTGGTCGGAATTTCACCAAAATCGGACCAGAATTGAAAAAGTTACAGAGCAAACAATTTGGCTGAATTATTTGGTGGACGGTGAGTGTATTATCACAATGAAAACAGCAAACGCAACAAATTTAGTTTGTGATCTTGATAACAAGTTTTCAAACATGACCTAGAGAATAAGATACAGAACGAACCTTGACTTTCTATAAAATGTTATGAAAAATAGAAAAAGGAACGCTCTGTAGATTGATAACGAAGCAAATATACGGACACATATTCATAGGAAAAAAAATTAGTCTCTGAAATCTTGATAGATACTGAATTCAGAAACACTATGTATATCCACAAGTTTGGTTCGTCGAAAAGATATACAAAATCAATCTGAACGTTTTTCTGAAGAATTAAAAAAATTAAAAAGCATCAATTTCACTTAAACTATATTTCCATATCAACAAAAACATTCACTCACTGTATCCACGATATGTGGACATGAACAATAAACATTGGTAAAGTGGAATCGTCCTCAGAAAATTGAGCAATACCACTACAACAAATCAAAAGATTCATTATCACTGGAATAATAACGATTTCCTCAGTAGAAGGAAAACAATCATTGGGGCAAAACAAAAGAACATTTAGTGACACAAACTTCCAAAGCTAACATTGATGAATTCTATACAAGGAGTTGTCATCAGATGATTTTTCGAAAAAATTCTTGCTAGAATTAATACTATATTCTATTATTTAATAAGCTGGAAACTCATTGAAAATTAATATATTTCACAAAAACAGTTTAGTTTTCTATGTCACTCTATCAATAAAGAAACACCCTGTGCAATTGGGATCCCTTGAAAAAATATCTGAATGACAGAATACGAGAATCACAAAAAAATCCCCAATCCTCGTTATTTCATGTTCCTTATTTCTATTCCCTCGGGATCATAAATAAACAACGCTCAATATATTTCAATGAATAAATTATTAGACTAGTTCGTTTTGATTTGCTTGACTATGCCGCTCGATGTACTTGGTTCATCCTGTACCACCGAGTGTTTCTTGGTGTACGCTTTCCTGTAGAAATTACTGAAGAGGTACAAAAAGACCACAACGTTGCCCACGAAGAAGAAGGTCAAAGATTTGGGCAGTTTGCAGTCCATGGCAATAATGAACACCAGGTAGGCGAGCATAATGCAAAACTGCGTCTGAAAAATGCACAAACATTGAAGTAGTTTTTTATCATCATTGATTTTTTTATAGCCACTATAATTTGAAAATTGGCAACGTTATGCTTGATATTATTATTATTGATATTTTCAAATTGATCCCACTCGAAAATGACACATCTGATCGATAATAAATAATAATAATAATAATAAAGTTTATTCAAAATGTTGTCATAATGGCTCCTCCACCATTCCTTTGACTTACTTTCTGAAAATCCACATTCACACAGTTAAAATATGATTTCCTATGCCAGTTATACGACATTGCCGACATCTTCAATATGTCTAGATTTCCGGAAATTGTTCTTTGTATGCACAATAACTATATCATAACAGCAATGGGATATAATAGGTTCTTCAATCCTACTATAATTAATTCCCATAAATCTCTCATTGGCTGAATGAAGTAGATCACAAATAAAGATAAATTATGATATTTTTAGATAGTATCTATAATTTCTCACTATCGTTATATTACATTATGATATTTACAACTGTCAGTAATTTTTTTGCTAAAGAATTCGTTCCTTAATAAAAAGGATCTACTTTCTGGAAAAGTTGCAGATTATATCTTGCAACAGCGCCTAATATTTCGAGTCCGTCCACACACTCAAAATACTGACAGGCACAAAAAGAGGAAGGAGCCATGGGTGTCGGCTTCATTCAGATCTGACGTATGGCAGTAAATTAGGAAGGATGGTATCATTGAATGTAGCCGATAGTGATTCATTGATTCAATGATATTTCCGTTTAGGATCGAGCTCTATTCGAAATATTTCAATGAATAAATAACAAAACCATAACCTTTCAGAATGAAGCCAACTACTCTCTGCATTCCTGCTCCGCGTGCATTTTTGGTTATGTATGTTTTTGTTTACTAGTCTTACTTCTTCTATTTTTTTCATTCGTTTATCATTCGTTAACTATTCGCTAGCTATATATTTCACAATCAGCTATTTTCAGACTAGATTCAGAAAGTACGTCACATCAGTGTTTGCCGCCAGGAAAATTGAAAATTGCTTTAATTTGAAAATAAAAACGACTTGGACGACTTCATCGGTCGCCATTCTGTACAGCGTGGACATAAAACGGGAGAGTTCCGAACTTATTTCATTCATCGGAAGGAAATTTCCCCATTGTAGAAAAATATGCATACAAAAAAGTTTGAGCAATATTCCAGTTCTTGTACCGCATTGCATCTTTTTTTCAGGCTAATTTGGGGACACCCCGTATATCTATTCCTTAATCAATAATTTAGCTGAATGTTTTTCTACTAAGTCTCTCTTGATATAGTTTTGCATAATTTATTCATTTTATTTCAGTTGTTGCATCACATCTCCCAGTATTACAGTTAATACAACAAATAACAAATATGAAGTCATTTTCAAATACAGAAAAAACATAAATAATCAGAAAGTAATAATCGGTATTAGATCATTAATGAATTATCGACTGTATTAATATAATTATAATTGAGATTACGAATCGGGAACTTTGCAACACATGATATAATAAAATAACAGTATATCGCACATGAAAAAAGGATTAAAAGAAGGGAAAAACCATGATGGAGACAGAAAGTCTGTCAGTTTTAGTCATTAGCTCATAAGGACATATTATTTCTTGAATTTCAACCAACTTCAGCTAAATGAATTTGTTAAAACTGAAAGATTGAGCTATTATTACTACTTGTTTCTCATCAAGAAAATCTTTTTTCTATTGTTTTTTGTTTATTGTTTATTGAGAGACTAGCTTCCAGTCAGAAATAATATCCTGGTATGAGGAAAATGATCGCAACCAACAATAATAAAATAAGGTGACAGCAACAAAAAAATCAAAAAAGCAAAAAATGCTATCAAGTCATAAAAATAGCAACAGAGACTAATCAGTAGATGGCAAAGTCTCAATTTGATCCATTTCGTGATAAAATGATGTGTTTTTTCAATTCAATTCTGAATTTTGAAATATGTCTGCAATTTTTTATATTAGCAGCAGAATCAAGATGAAATAAGTTTAATTGTATCGTGTGATGACCATGAATTTCTGAGCTCCTTATCAAAAAAAAAATTGGATTACAGATTATTGTTTATGATACTATATGAAACTTCAAGAGATACTATCTTATATAATTCATCCGATGAAAGTTTTTCTGTTATCGCACACAGATCATTTGTTGGGATATCAAATGAGAGGCGATACCATATTTCCAGTGATTTCTTATAAAGTGCAGATATTTTACTGAAATAATTTTCTGAACAAGATTTCCAAACGTTTATATGAGAATAAGTTTTTTGTCAAGTTCAGGACATCTTCGCAAAGCTCCAATGATTGGAGATATTTTTTGTATTAGAACCTCTATATGCTTGTCCCATTTCAATTTTTCATCAATACCAAGATACTTTATTTGTGTAGGTCTTTTCAATACTTCATTTTCAATTCGGAGATTGATACTAATATTCTGTTTATTTTCCTGATGGAATATTTGATATTCAGTTTTATTGGTATCAATTGATAAAATGTTTGAATGAAGCCATTTTTCAAATTTTTTCATGAGTCATTCAAAATCAGGATGAGTGTGTTTCAATGATGATGTGTTGGTACTTACCAACTGAATCCAAGTCATGTACTTCTTCCACCAGAGGTATTTTTGGTATTTGGGACCTAACGCTGACAGGAAATAGTAAAAGTACATAACTACGTGGACTAGAGAGTTCA